GAGGCTGGAGCTGACCTCCTGGTGGGCACGGAGGGCAGATGACCGGTGCCCAGGGCCAGAAGAGGCGGGCAGCTGCACAGTAGCAGTATGGAAGGCAGAAAACAGACCCAGCTCCCATCCCTTCTGATTTTGTACTCCTTTATTTTTCTACTCAAACCTCTGCATGAAAATAAATGATTTAAGACCAGCGTGGCTGTGGCTAGGCTGCTAGGCTGGGTCGGGCAGGTGCTTTCCAAATCTCCCAGTCTTGTAGGTGAGGTCCCATCTCATCCTGGGAAGGGCAGGCCCTTCCCTCGGTCCCCACCCTGGGAGGGCCCTGCTGGCCCTCCTGCAGTCCCCCCCCCAGTTGGGGAGGGGCCTGAGGGAGCCGGGCAGACCAGGATTGATGGCCTCTCCCACTGCTGGCTCTGGGACAAGGGACACCAGATCCACGGACCTGAGCTTTTGGCCCTGGAGGTGCAGAAAGGTCGCAAGCCTCAGAGCTGGGAGAGCTCTGATCACACCACAGCTCAGAGCTGGGAGAGCTCTGATCACACCACAGCTTAGAGCTGGGAGAGCTCTGATCACACCACAGCTCAAGGCAACCCCAGCTGCCAGGGAAGAACGTCACCCAAAAACACCCAGTGGGAAGCGGGGAGGGTGTGACTCAACAACCCCGGGACCCAGAGGCAAGAGGAGGGATGGGGGAGGCTCCAGAGACTGGGTGTGTCCATTCCCTGTAAGGCTGAGTCAAAGAGTGGGTGCCAAGCGAGCGGTCTTCTCTGTCCCGGGGCACGGGTGGCCCCACATGACAGCAGCCATGCTCCCCCAGGCTGGATAGCTGCCACTGAGGCACAAGGCTCTGACTTGTAGCCTACTGGCACCCTCAAACCGTGTCTGGAGAACCCTGTCCCAGCAGGTAGTGGGGGCGTGGCGGTGGGGAGGGGTCCTAGGCACAAGTCCTCCCCTCTCTGCCCTGGAAGAAGCCTTCTTCAGCCCCAGCTTTTGCAGGGCTGGAGAGGTAGGGTGTGTTGCTTAATTGTGAGGCCACCCTGCTCCCCTGAGACCCCAGGCCACTGTAGGGCCCTTGCACCCAAGCCAAGGCACCACCACTCAGAGCTGTATTCTGCTCTGCAAACCCCACATCTCCACCCCTGCCTCTTCTCCACCCTGCCCCTGCTCTGTGAGCCCCATAGCTTTACCCCTGCCTCTGCTCTGAGAGCCCCACATCTCCACCTCAGCCCTGAGTTCTGTTCCTGATCACTCCTGGTCCTTACCTCTTGATCCCAGGCATGGTGCTGGATCTCCTAGGGCCTCAGTTTCCTACACTTAGACTCAACACTTCACTCATGTTCATGGGGGCCAGGGTCTGCTGAAGAGCCCTTGCCCTGTCTCTTAGCCATAGCAGGATATGGACCTCCAGGGACCCCAGCCCTACCCAGGGTCCTGCTGCAGTGGAGCTGTGCCCGTAGGGCTGTGGCTTGGGTGGCCAGAGCCAGGCCTGGTGCCAGAGCACCCTCCAGTGGCCACTAGAACGTCACAGAGCTCTGGTGGCCCGGAACCTGCTCTGGGACTTGTCTGCTCTCTCCTGGATGCTCTCTCCTGCACAGCTCCCTTCAGGTAGACTCCTCAAACCTGAGCATGAACCCTGACTCAGCGGAAGATTCCGGAGACTTCTGTGCCTATCTTCTTGGCTCCTTTCTCTTCCTCACTTGGGAGCCAGTGTGCCAGTCAGAACAACCCAGGCTTGTGTGCCATGAGGTGAGAAAGGGACAAACAGGCCAGAGGCTGGGGGCACACTCGCGTCCGCATCCTGGCTACTCAGAAAGCTGAGCTCCGAGAATCAGCTAAAAGGCAGCACAGTCCGTAAGACTCTGGTCTCCAATTAACCACCAAAAGGCCAGACGCAGAGACACTAGCACGCTAGCCTTGGGCAAAAAGGTTCAGGGACAGTGCTCCAACCTGAGTTCAAGCTCCAGTGTCGGCGATAGATAGATAGATAGATAGATAGATAGATAGATAGATAGATAGGAGGCAGACAGACCTGGTGTAACATGTAAAGTCAGAAAACAGAACAAAATTATTGATGATTAAAAATAGGGCCAAATATTAAAGGCAGAACTCCTCTGTAGAGAGAGACTCCAGGTTAAATGGCCAACAGTCAGCCTTAGTCCCTTTCCATCCTTGCTAAAAAGCATAACATCTCTCCCCCTCTCAGGTTTCCCAGGCTGGCAGCTTTGCAGTTTATCACAAACATTGCTGAAGCCACCGACAACCTTGGAGCTTCTCACCAGCTGTTGCTGCATTAGCCAGGAGCTTACAATAAACATCATTTCTGTAAGGGAAATTTCAGTGCACCCCCCACGCATGGGAATGAGTTTCTAATGTTTTGAGATTTAAAATATACTATTTCTTCCCAAGGTTAAGTTTTGACTTCTGTAAGCTAAGGGTTGTTTTGACTTTGTCTAATAATGTCAATATCAATAGTATCGATCATGCTGCCCAAGTCAAGATTATGGTTTGCCTATGCTCTTGTGACTCAAGGCTGTTTTGCACCTGTAACCTTGCTTGCTTGCTCTGGGAAACATCACCGATGTGAACCCTTTCCTATAAAAATCCCCCATGAAAAGCAAATAGGGCTGTTCTCCGAAGCCCTGCGAGCTGGGGACAGACGCCATGTGGCTAATAAAAGGCTTCCAGCCAGTTTGACTGAGTGCTGGTGACTCCTTTTGCCAATTGTGTGTTTGAGTCCCACCAGCTCCGGGAGCTGGGATATAACACTGGGATCACACAAGGTACAGTTCACTGAGAACTCACTGATGGAAGTGTGTGTGTGTGTGTGTGTGTTTCGGGGGGGGTCTGGTCGTGGGGCCTGAGCTCTGGGCCTGGGCTCTGTCCCTCAGCTCTTCAGCTCAAGGCTAGTGCTCTACCACAGTGCCACTTCCAGCTTATTTCTTTTTGCTTATGTGGTGCTGAGGAATCGAACCCAGGGCCTTATGCATGCAAGGCAAGCGCTCTACCATTGAGCCACCTTCCCAGACCCTCGTTGTTTGTTTTGCCAGTCTTGGGGCTTCAACTCAGGGTCCAGGCACTGTCCCCGAGCCTCTCTGTGCTCAAGGCTAGCACTCTGCCATTTGAATCACAGTACCACTTCAGCTTTTTCTGTTTATGTGGTAGTAAGGAATCAAACCCAGGGCTTCACGCATGCTAGACAAGCACTCTACACTGAGCCACATTCCCAGCCTGGAATTGTGGTCCTGAGCAACAGCAAGACTCGTAGATTCCACAAGTTGGGTCAGGAGAAACGGGTACATAATAGGACAAAAGCGACTCTTCCTGGCCAGACTGCGACGGTTTATATAAAGCCAAGGTGGAGGATGCCAGGGATGCTGCGAGCTGAATTCAGGCCTCAGAGCCTCGGCACTTGCCCTGGCAGGTCCTTCTGTTTACAGTGTGCTGGAAAAGAATTCAAGAGAACCTGCAAGGTCACCCTGGGCCAGGTGTGGCCTGTAACCAAGACCCCCGGTCAGTCACATTCTGTATATGTTGTCTTGTTTTGTTTTTGTTTTTTAAAACAGGGTAGGGGTCCAGGGCCTGACGACTCCTTCACAGTGGGTGTTGGAGCTCGGGGCGCACTTGGCTCCGGCTCCGGGGGGTTCCCCATCCATGTTTCCTCTATGGCCTCCTGAGCAGGGGCCCTGTGAGCTCCATGTGGGCAGAGTATTTGAGAACACGGGTGGGTTTCTAGTCCCCGTGGTGTCCCCAACTCCTGACACATTTGACAAGTGACCATTTGGCAGAGAGAGCGTCACATGACCAACTCAGTTTATCCAGAACCGGAACAGACCTATCCAGATGCCAGGGCGGTTAGGTCAGAGGAGTGTCTTTTTCTCTCAACAGAAAGAGAGAGAGAGAGAGAGAGAGAGAGAGAGAGAGACAGACAGACAGACAGACAGACAGACAGACAGACAGACAGACAGACATCTTGGGCCATGGAAACCGATTAAATTTCACTTAAAATGAAGTACTTAAGGCTATGAAAAATAGCTCCCTAACACCAGGATCATGATGGGGGTTGGTGCAGACCATAAGGTGATTCTGAGGTTGTGAGCCCCAAGTGCACCCCACCTGGAAAGCAAGACCCAGAGAGGCTGGGGACAGTAACTCCCTTCCGGTGGTCAGCGGGCCCCTCCTGAGGACACTTGTGAGGGAGGGCAAGAGGGTGGGCTAAGGCCCCGGGTGCGGAGAGACTCCCAGCGGTGCCCCAAGGTCGCAAAGGTGTCACTAGGGATTGTGCGCATCCTGACTCATGGCCTCTGTCGGGCTCCCACGCGTGTAACCTGGGAGCCCACTAGGGCCCCAGAGCGCGAGCCCCGCCGTGAGCTCATGGGGTGGGGCTGGTGCCGAGATCTGGGGACCGGCGGGGAGAGGCTGCTGTGCGCTCCTGCTCTGGTGCAGGATGGACTTGCGTGGAAGCCTGCGATGTGCCCTGGGCAGGGCCCAGGCAGGGAGACGCGCGGGGGGGGGGGGGGGGGGGGGGGAGGGTCGGAGCGTGCGGTGCGCCCGGGGAGACGCGGGGGGGGGGGGGGGGGAAAGGGGCATCGAGGCGGGGAGACGCGGGGCAGGGTCGGAGCGTGCAGTGCGCCCGGGGAGACGCGGGGGAAGGGGCGGAGCGTGCGGTGCGCCCTGGGGGGGGAGACGCGGAGGGGGGGGCGGAAGGGGCATCGAGGCGGGGAGACGCGGGGCAGGGGCGGAGCGTGCGGTGCGCCCTGGGCGGGCCGAGGCGGGGAAGGGGCGGGGCGTGCGGGGCGCCCTGGGCGGGGAGACGCGGGGAAGGGGCGGGGCGTGCGGGGCGCCCTGGGAGACGCGGGGGAAGGGGCGGAGCGTGCGGTGCGCCCTGGGAGACGCGGGGAAGGGGCGGAGCGTGCGGTGCGGCCTGGGCGGGCCGAGGCGGGGAAGGGCGGAGCGGGGCCGGCCGGAGGCGGGCGCGCGGGCGGGCGAGGCGGGCAGGCGCCGGGTGCGCGCTGTGCGGCGGGGTGCTGCGGGAAGGACGGCTCGCGGGGCCGCGCGCTCACCCCGAGGGGGACCTGGGAGCCGCCGGTGAGTGCTGGGCCCGGCGGGGACCCGCGCTGGCGGAGGCCGGGGACGAGGAGAGCCGTGGGAGCCTCCCGGCCCCGCCGCAGCCGGGCCCGCAGTCTCCGGGGCGGAGCTCGGCGCCGGGGTGGGGGAGCCGCGGCCCAGCCCCGGGCAGGCCCTGGGCACCCGGCGGGGCGCCAGGGAAGCGGATTTGGGACGCCGGTTCTGTCCCCCGGGCGGGAATGGGAACCAAGTGTCGAGGCGGGGTGAGGGCGGACGCGGCCCCAGACCCCAGGCCAGACGGGGGGCGCCTCGTCCCGTGTCCCCCAGCGCTTCTGGGGCAGCCCCAGCGCCCTGTCCCAGCCGGGCGTGGCCCCCCAGCCCCGCTGTCCCGCGTGGCCTTCCTTACAAGTGGAACCCACACAGGGGACCCCTGGAGGCGGGAGGTGGAGCGGTGGGTAGAGAGCAGGGACCCCAGCCCGTCCTGGCGGCCCCTGCACCCCGGGCCCCAGGGTCTGCGTGCTCGCTCTCCAAGCGTCCTGCAGCAAACGTACCCAGAGTGAAATCTGGGGTTCATATCCGGCCGCTGCAGCCTCTCCTCACACTGCCACCCCATCTTGCTCTGCCCCGACCCTGCAGGATGTACGTGCCAGCTTGGGCGTGGGTGGGGACTGGCCTCTGGTTGGAATGCCCCGGCCCTGCCCAGGGACCCTTCCCTGACGGACACCCGGTGACTGCCCAGGCCCAGCACTGACCACACGTCTCTGCCAACTTCAGTGCAGGGCTGGTGTACCAGCGTCAGGCCGGAAGAGCCTGCCTGCACCCCCTGTGCCCTGCCCCTGCCACCGGCCCAGTGGAGCCAGGACCAGCTGCTGCTTGCCTTCCCGCTCCCACGCTGTCCCCTGGCCTCCGGTCATGGCACCCCTGCTCGGCCTGCTGCTGGTGGCCCTGGTGGGCCTGCCTCTGGGTAAGGTGGGCAAGGACAGAAAGATGTACAGCCTGGAATGTGGGACGGGCAGCCTAAGGGGGGGGGGGGCGGAATTCCCAGACTTGTCCTGGCAGTGGGGGCGCGGGGTGCCCTCTGATGGCCAGAGTGGGGTTTCTCCGGGTTCTGTGACTCCCACCTCCCGCCCCCAGCCCAGGCTCTGGACTGCCATGTGTGTGCCTACAACGGAGACAACTGCTTCAACCCTATGCGCTGCCCCGCCATGGTCTCGTACTGCATGACCACGCGCACCTGTGAGTCCGGTGGTGGGGACAGAGGCTCCCGCCCTCCCTGCGCCCTTCCTGGGACCTGATTGGCCCTGTGTGCGGGGGGTCCTGCCTCTCTCAGGGATGCTTCTTGCCTCCTGCCCACTGCAGACTACACCCCGTACCGGATGAAGGTGAGCAAGTCCTGTGTACCCAGCTGCTTTGAGACGGTATACGATGGCTACTCCAAGCACGCATCCACCACCTCCTGCTGCCAGTATGACCTCTGCAATGGGGCTGGCTTTGCCACCCCAGCCCTCCTGGCCTTGGCCCCCATTCTCCTGTCCACCCTTTGGGGTCTGCTGTGAGGCCCTGGCTCCCAGGGAAGACCAACTCAAAAGCAAAGCTCTCAAGAGACTCTTGTACCCTCTTATACTGCACCCCACTCAACCCCACTTCCTACTCTCCTGAGACTCCCGCCAGCCGTCCCCAGGCCCAGGGCTGTCAGGGAGGACTGCTGAGCTCCAGCTTCCCATAGAACCTCGCTTCAGGGCCATGACAGTCACTTCTCAAACGGCTGCTGTGTGACCCTGAACCTCCAGGGTGCCGGGCCCTCCTCTGTGGGGGGAAGGGGCCAGAGTGCTGTTTGTAGCCGGAGGGAGTCCAGGCAGTTCAGGATCACTGATTTCATGGGGGCAGCAGCCAAACCCCCACCTTCCATGCAGAAAGCTCCCACTCAGCGTGGTAGGTGCTGGGTGGAAGGAGGGAAGATCAGGAGCCAGCTAGGGGCCGTGCAGGACCCAGCAGGGCTTCTTGCCCAGGGCAGGATGGAGTGAGCCAAGGGGAGGAAGGCCTTTGTCACTGCCAGCTGCTCCTGGAGCTCTGCCAAGTTTAGAGTCCTAGAGCGCTTGGCCAGGGGAGTGGGCAGTGCACCTCACCAGGCCTGCTGTCCCTCCAGTGCTCGAGGCTGTCTGGGGCACTGGGAGGCGTATGCGCCCAGGGCGCAGCTAGACCCCTTCACCTTCCCATCCTCCTCTCTCCCCACCCTGGTATGAGGCCCAGTATCCTGAGGCTGGCAGGGATCGGGGACGTGGGGGTGGACAGGCTGTGCTATATTCAGTCTGGCCTGCCTGCTGGCCAGGGCCAGCGCTATTCTGGGTAGGGTGGAAGGGGGTGGGGCAAGCTGGCGGGGGGGGGGGAGGGGGAGATGAGGCCACCACCCTGCAGAGTGCTCATGGTCGCTCAGGTCCCTTGGCAACTCCTGTAGTCCCCGCCCCCATCCCTCAGGAGACCCCAGCTGGACAGATGCGCAAGAAGCCAGGCCACGTCGGCAGCAGCCACCACAGATAGTGCTGGCCACCACACCACAGCCTAGATTTGAGAGACACCAGTCTGTCCAGCCCTGCCACACCAATGCCAGTGGACCAGTGAGGCCAGATGGGCTCGGATCTCTTCACTGATCGGTGCCCAGGCCCAGGTGCTGCCCAGGAGACTCTCAAGCTGGCCGGGCCCAGGAGGTGGGGTGGTGGCAGCGCCCATGTCAGAGACTGCTGCATCCTGAGTGGCCGGGACTGTCCACCCACAGAGCCCGGGAGGTGGGGTCCCCTCTGGGCCACTGCAGGCTCCATTCTGCCTCACCTTCTGGAAGACAGGATGCTAGGGGAGGGAGGAGGCATGGCGGCCCTCTTGCAAAGGGGACATGGGGAGGGGCCTGAGGATGAGGGCCATTGACTTCCAATAGGATGGGCCTCCCGGGAGGCAGGAAGGAGGCCACATAGAGGACATGTGTGCACACATGCATGAGTAGCCATGGGTCCAGTGCAGAACCAGACATGGCAATTGTTTCCTTGGGGCCAGTTGGGCATGAGCCCCTCCCTGGGGAGCAGGGAGGCCGGTGCTGCCCTTGTGCTCCTCCAGGACACCCCCTCTGTCCCCCCCCATTAGCAAGTGACCAGTGAACCAGACCGCCCTCGGGGCGCTGGCTGGGAAGGGTACGCGTGGGCCTGGCTCGACGGGAAGGGCCTGGAAGTTGCCACTACCTCACTTGCGTGAGGCCACTGTCACCAATCCAGCTGCAGCCTGGGCCAGAGCTGGGAGAGGCCTGAGCCACAGTGCTCCCTCTCGTGGCAGAGGATGATGGGAAAAGCCTGGTCACCTGTGGGCTCCCAAGAGGCTGTGATGGGTACGGTGCTGGGGTCTTCTCTCCTGCATCACCCCGTGGCCTGCCACACGACTCCATCCAAGCCCCACAGGACCACACGGCCCGGGACCATGCTGCCCCTCCCCTGTGACAGGGCCCTGCCTGGCGGTCCTGTCCTAGGCACCTGGCTCAGCGCGTAAAGATGGTGCTCAGGGGAAGCAGGGCTAAGCTTGGCAAGGGAGTGGTTGTTGCAGATTAGAGAAACGGGAAGAGTGGTGCCCACTGGCCTATCCTTCCCTATCCCTTCCAGGGTGGTGTGGTGACATCTGTCTAGCCCCACTGCGGCTTTGCTGCATGGGGGCCACCACTGTACCCCTTGGACAGATAAGGAAATGGAGACACAGTCAGGGTTTATGTCCCCAAGGCCAGCTGGCCTGACCACCCCTGGCCCCGCCTCCCTACTGGCCAGGGTGCCCTGGGCTCCACATCCCAGGGTGATGACGTGCTCATAAACATCAGAGACCCTTGGCATGGTTATTACTACAGGGGCTCAGGATCCAGGGGCTTTGAAGAGAAAGCGGGGAGTGAGGGTTGAGGAGCTGTGGGCTCGAGTGTGGAGTCAGGGCTGGATGCCAGGCGTGGCTGGCAAGGCAGAGAGGACCGAGGGCGCCAGGCACACAGGGCTGACCATCTGCATGGGCGGCTACCGAGGCTGGGGCTGCAGGCAGAGCAGTGGGACTCAAGTCCCCGACCTGGGTGGGCACTCAGGTCTGTGGGCTGCAGCTCACTCTGGAGTCAGGGTCTGGACGCAGCCCGGAGCTCTGCAGAGGCGCCATCCACCGCGCGGGGGCTGGTGGAGCAGTACGCCTGCCGTGGGGTGCCACGGAGCCGCGGAGCCCAGCCCTGACCCGAGACCCGGGGCTGCCTCTGTGTCACGAGCAGGAAAGTGACTAAGGAGCCCGGAGGCCACCTGGTCTGCGGAGAGGTGCCAGTCAGGGTAGAGCGATCTGCCCCACTCTGAGGCTGGCTTTCCTGAACCAGACGCTGGGTCCGCTGCTGCTTGCTTCCCTCTGCCGTGTCCGAGTGGTTGTGGTGACCTGTGCTGTTGTCGCAACCTGAAGTTCTAGAAGCACAGGAGGAAGCGGCATGCCCCTCTGTCCTCTGCTTCTTTCTCCCCAACGCTTGTTACGGGGACCTGCTGCTCTGCACGTCCCGGGCCTCTCGGGCCTCTCCACACCCTGACCCTCTTCCTGGTGACACGAGGGATCTCACGCCCAGGTACTTGCGGTGCCAGCGTCCAGGGCAGGGTCGCAGCAGGCCCTATCCTATCTGCCATCCTGGGGTCCAGACGCTTCCCCGGACCGTGTCAGACTAGAGTGCCAGCCTAGTCCCTCCCCCACCCCCAGCACTGTGTACTCAGTTCCTAGGTGAGGTCTAGCAGCTTCCCTCACAGAATGAATAAAAGACGATGGACACCTGTGTCTGCCCCTCTCTCCTCCCCTCCTGCCTGACCTCAGGCCTTGCCTGTCTGCCTTGTGGGTCTTCCCGGGCTGCTGGGCTGCTGCGTGGGCCCTGAGTTCCTGCTCGCCAAGGTTCTTCCCACTTCTCTGGCTGCTGGCAGGGGGCGGGCAAGCAGGATTTTCGGGAAATAAACCCTCCCGCCCTGAGAGGGACAGCAGGCTGGATGGAAGGAGGGAGGGAGGGAGGGAGGGAGGCGGGGAGGGAGGGAGGGAGGGAGATGGGGCCCAGCACCTGCCCCAGCACCCACCCTTCACCTGGTTTCTGGTTCCTGACTCCATTCTCATGACTCGCCCAAGAAAGAGGGTCTCCTTCCCTTTGGACCTCTGCAGCCCAGGCTTAGGAAGCCCCCCGGGCAGAGGGCCAGGCCAGAGCCACTGGCAAGGCACAGAGACACAGGAGGGTCCCTGACCCGTGGTCACACCCCTGCATGGCCCCAGTTCAGAACCCCAGGTGTTGGGCTGAACAACCCCTGCCCCACAGATGCCCCTTCTGCTCTTACCCTCTTGGGGCAGGGCCTTGCTGCCCCTCCTGCTGCTCCTGGACCAGCACCACAGGGAGGCCTTGGATCCCGTGCCAGGACGATCCCTCACCCTGGAGTCGAAGTGCACAGCTGCGCTTTCCCGGCTCCTCTCCACGCCTCCAGCTCTGGGAGAGGCGGGATGGGCTGGAGTGACTTGGCAGGTGGAAGTTCAGCCTCTGCCAAGGAGGTGTACTTTGAGAGCTCCATCTAGGGCAGCCGGGCCCACGCAGGGTCTCATCTCCATCTGCAACTGGCAGGGTTAGGGGCAGCCGGCCAGTTGCCTGTAGAGCTGTCTGTACGTTGGGCATTGGAGCCTGAGGCCTGGCAACCTGGCCCCCTCTGCTCAACAGACCAGGGAACGAGCTCATGGAACCAGGCCAGGCTTGCCAGGTGGGGCTGGCCACCTGGCCAGCTCTGGGCCAAGTGGGTCCTGCCCAGCTCCCAGCTGAGCCAGGCTTCTGGTGACTCACTGGGAGCTAGTGGCAGCAGGGAGGCAAGGGTGGGGTAGGAGCAGCCCAGGTATAAGGGGCGGCAGGCTCAGGCTCCTGCTCATCCCAGGAACATGAGGCTTCTCTTCAAGCTCCTGCTCACCATGATCTTGACCCTGGACCTGGGTGAGTCCGGGGATTCAGCCACCTCCCCCATTGCTCCTGTCTACCCCTGTCCCTCTGGGGGAGCCCTTTCCTGCCCCTTCCCCTCTCCCTGGCACTGTCCCCTTCCTGTGCACCAGCCTGCTTGGAGAACTCAGCAGTTCCTCCTCACCCCATGCCTCAGAGCCCCGAGTCCCCTCAGGCCAGACTTCTTGCGGACCCTCACTACCCAGTACTCAACACGAAATGCCTCTCCCTCCGCCCTTGCTGTCACCTCCTGGAGCCCCCTTTCCTGATACCCCACCCCCTGCCCACCCCCATCCTCAGCTGCCTCTGACTGAACCTTCACCCCACCCCACCCCCAGGCCAGCCCCCTTGCCCTGGGCTCAGGTGCTTTATCCCAGTGCCGCCTGAGGGCTCCTCACGGCACCCCAAACTTCCCTGTCCCGGCCTGGCCTCCACCTCCCAGCAGAGCTCTAGCGTGTCCCCAGCCCTTGTTGGTAGCTGTCCTGTCACCCACCAGCTCTTCTCCCTCCACACTCCAGCCTCCCTGGCAAAGCCTCTGCCTCCTGCCCACCTGAGAGGGGCATCCTTAACACTGGTCACAAGTCTCTCCCCAGAGGCATCCCTCCCAATCTGGCCCATTAGGGACCCTCTGTCCTGAGAGGCTGGGCCGCTGTCCAGGGTCCTGGCCCCCTAGAAACCCTCTGTCCTGAGAGGCTGGGCCGCTGTCCAGGGTCCTGGCCCCCTAGAAACCCTCTGTCCTGAGAGGCTAGGCTGCTGTCCAGGGTCCTGGCCCCCTAGAGACCCTCTGTCCTGAGAGGCTGGGCCGCTGTCCAGTGTCCTGGCCCCCTAGAGATCCTCTGTCCTGAGAAGCTGGACCGCTGTCCAGGGTCCTGGTCCCCTAGAGATCCTCTGTCCTGAGAGGCTGGGCCGCTGTCCAGGGTCCTGGCCCCTTGGGCCCTCTGTCCTAAGTGGCTGGACCGCTGTCCACAGTCATCAGGAAGATTATCTCCACCTTGAAGACCAAGACCCTCTGGCGCCAAGGACCCGAGCTCAGATGGGCGGCCTCTGCCCCTGTCAGGCCTGGGGCTCCAGGGGGCACAGCCAGCCAGCAGTCATGGGCCAGCAGCATCTCCATGGGCGCAGAGCAGCCCTCCCACCCTCTCAGCCACGGCTGGCACACCCCAGGCACCTCTGACCCCGAGACCATCTCTTCCATGAGAGAACATGCCAGTCCCCCTCTATGGAAACCCAGTTGTCCCAAGGGACAAGCCCTGGCCTGCTCCAGACTCTTCCCGTTGCAAGAGGACGGGGGGCCTGGGGCTGCGTGAGCCTGTCTCGGGGTGCCCGTGCTCCGTGCCACCGCCACTTCTCATGGGCAGCA